GTGTGATTTGATGACTCCATGGCGCTGTTACCAAGGCATTGGCTTTTGCGTCGGGGGTCGTGGGTTCGATTTCCATACGGGACAACTATTTGTTCAAATTTATATTTGTAAAACGTTATCACAACACAGGATAATGTAATCCTACAGTAAGGGTAATGTTTTTTTTAACTGAATTTTTTTTTAACTAAAAAGAAATTGTTTTCCAAATGTGTGTGATTTTTTTCTTTTGATCTGTTTCCAGCCGTACACACATTAGGACACAAAACGGAACACCATTTTAATACCCTACTGTAGACGATATTATATGTTTTCCGGTAGGGGATAGCATGTAAAGATTCTGGGCATTTGACACACGCAAGCATGCTATATACTTACCTGGGACCATGAGAGTACTAATTTTAAGCATTGTACCTCAATACTAGACCTTAATATTAACGTTATGCCTTATTATGTAATTGACAACGAATTTGTGACGGAAACTATGTCCGTCACTGAGACGTTATCCGACGAGAAACGTCCCTCATCATCATACATATTTATTGCCAGTTAATTACCAATGAAATTTCAATCAAAGGTTAATTTTGTTGTTTAACGTTCATGTTTTACCTAAACATAAAAAAATGTGTGTACTTATGTACGCGCTGAGAAAGATATGTACAACGACCTCACAGGAGACCGGCGTAAAATGGAAGTGTTATACTTATATGTTTCGTGTGTTGAGTGAGTTAACCAGAGATCACTTTATTAAAAGGTGGCAAACCATCTGCTCCCAATGTCCTACTCTTAATGTCATAGGATGGCAGTTATCGCTTAATATCAAGTGAAGTGCCAGCTCTTGAGTTCCGTAAAAACAGCAAGATATTAGTGGAATTTATTTCAACTCTAAAACTACTGCAACACTAACAATTTAATTCCCGATTACATTTCATGCACAACAAAATCGAATAATAGCAGGTTACTTGCCGAAAATTCGATTTCAATTTCGAGTTCGAGCGGTCTTTCCCCAAGGATAGATACTTTTCCCAACCTTCTGTTCTCTATACACCTGCAACGTAAGGGCCTAAAGATAAGTTTATGTACACTAAGATACCGGGGCTTTAAGCTAACCTCCAGCACACACACGCAAGCATGCTATATACTTACCTGGGACCATGAGGGTACTAATTTTAATCGATGTACCCTAATCCTACTATCAGACAGCCCCATACTTACACGATTTTTAAAAACTTGTATTAGAGTCCGCATTAAGTACCCCCGCTGAACAGTACAGAAACAGGGGGATGTAGCGGAGCAGACGGCATAAATATCCCGGCGTCCTGCATAAGCTTCGTTATTTCTCCCGATTTTGCGAGTCTTCTGCTCATGGAAGCCCAGTGGCTTTGACAACTTCCGTAGCCCGGCGGCCAACGGCTTGTTATACTGCACATAAAAATATGCATGCTCTTTTAAAAGCACGTTCTTTTGACTTCTTTTGATCTCATGTTGACAAGGGCCATGACTGTTTCCTGAACAAACTTTCTAGAGTCCAGTCTTGACAGTTACTGCCATAGTGCATATGCGGTGAGGAATTTGAAATAATAATGCACTAGTCCGCCATCAATCAACCGCGACTAGGCAATTTGCCAAGTTACCAACGCTCGTCCAAACCCCGCACGATAAACAGCCCACCAAAAAAGTACAGTAGCTATTTCTGGAAATACTCCGTCACCCAACATCATCATTATCATTATCATCATCATTATAATCATGCTCATCATAATTTCAGCCTGTTTTAATCCATTGCTGAACATAGGCCTTTTCCACAGATCGCCACGAAGCCCTCCAACTCCAATACAAGGCTGACCCCGAGAACCTGTTTTCACCATCGGTTATCGGTTATTCGAGCTATATGGCCGGGCGATTGCCACTTCAGCTTATTAAGCTTCGATATGTCGGTTCTACGTCGTATGTCTTCATTATACCACACACATACTACATTTATTGCAGACTTTTACATTAAATGTTGAGAAATTAGACGAGAAGATATACATATAATGGGCTAAACCTCTACTACTCCCACTCTGTCCCCCATACCCTCCTCCCTTGCATCCAAAGTGGACTTCGTGATCCCCCTAGGAGCGGCCCACATAGGCCTGCCTTGCAACACAGGGCGGCCAAGTGTAGGTTATTTTTGGACTCGCTGTGGATGATCAAGCCACGGCACATGGCACCCGGTCGGAGGGGACCGGACTAGCTGTCCTATACTAGTCTACAACTTTGAGCACAGTACTCAGTTTCTATCGGATATATTTGACTATATTTGACGGGGAAAGCTCAAAGGAATTTTTCAGATTGATACCAGCTGCTGAATTTCACCATCATACTAGTCGACTAACCGCCAATTATCATCGACACAATTGATGGTTGATGGTCCACCACTGAGCTATTTTTACGCTATTTTATGCCCCGCACAGCCACTTTGTAGAACCTGTTATCGCCAGCCGTATTTCCGGACCAATAGGGCTTAGGGACCTTCAAGAATAGAGCCTACTCCTACCTCACAGTCCGGGCACGTCATTGTTACTCCACCACTGGCTCGTTTGCCTCCTTTTTAGACCACATATTTCTCCAATTGATGATATTTGATCAGCAAATCTTTTCCTTCAATAAATTTACTTTAAAATATTATCCTCGTTACCAATACGGTCGAAAACGCTTAACGTTTCTCTCATTACTTAAATAAGCTTCATGTAATTTCACTTCTTAATGATCTTTCCTTTACGTAAACCTAATAGCAGACTCAAGGTTCTGTCGCTGTAAAGAGATCGTTAGCATGTTTTATTTGAAATTAAACTACATCATAAATCCTAAGCCCGCCTAAGTTTTAAGTAAAAAGGTAAAGAAAGCTATTAATTAAGCGCTGTTATCTAATATTAATCCATCAAAATTAAGTAAGAGTTCTATGCTTCAATAAAAAGCGTTTCTGCCCCAACAATTTACATTTTCTTTTATTTATTTACATTTGGTTTTTTCTTTTTTTTTTTTAAAACATTGCCTTTACTTTAGGATAACATTATCCTATGATGCAAGGACGTTTTACAAACATAAATTTCACGCGGACAAACACCCAGATACGAAACAACTATCTGTGGTTCACACAAATAGTTGGCCGTGTGGGAATCGAACCCACGACCCCCGACGCCGAAGCCAATACCTTGAGAACTGCGCCACGGAGTCATCGCATTTACATACCTACATTTTACGTAATAAGGTTACTAATATACAAAAATGTCTATTTTTTGTTGGCCTATTTTCCTACCTTAGGGCCGTGACTTATAACGACTCCAGGATTTTCTGCACCATATTCCGGCAAATGTTTCGCCTTACAGCGACAAAAATCGATTCCGTGAGAACTATTTATTGTGATTATCTGGAAGGAATCTAATATTGTGGGTATTAGACTCCTTTCTCTCGGTCTCTCGTCCTGAAATTTCTAAGCGTTTGGGAAATGCCTTAAATAATTATTTGAAAGAATTTATTGATAAGCCTGGTCTAGCCTTTCACGTTTAAAAATAATACTTTTGAATAATCATGTAACGATAGTCAGTGACGGCAGTAGACGGCCACTTGATAATAATATATTCAAACACTCTAATATAATTATATTATTATATTCAAACACTTGTTGACTGATACACGCGTTGGTCATACATGCAAATTTTCTGTGGATTAAATTCTTATATTCACAAACGTTAAATTTTCGACTAAGCGACATCTATGATCTATTAAGAAAAGTGCCATGGCCACGTTATATACAAGCTCCAATTAGTTCCTACTCGTGAGACAGATGTCACTGATGTCACTATTTTCATATATCGTCGCATGTCTGAAACGTCCAGACCGAAAGAAAGATTTCATTGTGGGCGAATTATAAAAATTCTAGGTTAACAAACAAAGGCCTAAATACATGAATTAATTTTGGTTCATAATAATTGTGCAGATGATTTTACCCTAAATAGAGAAAAATAAATTACGTATGTTATGGAAATTATTAATTGTACAGCCTGACAATTACTTAAAAATGCAGAAATTTGAGGGAGTAGTGAACCTGCCTCTTGCGCCAGAGGGTATGGGTTCGATTCCCACTACTTGAAATATGTATGTGATGATAATTGTGTTTTTCTAGTGTCTGGGTGGTTTGATATGTAAAATATGTATTTATTTATTAAAGAAAAGTATGTTTAAGTATGTTTATCAGTTTCCTGGTGCCCATAGTAAAAGCGCTGCTTACTTTGGGAACAATACAGAATATTTATCAATTCTTTCAGGTAGAGTAGTTTTACAAAAAAAAAAGCTATCGCGTTATCTTCTAACCCTTATGTCATGGGAGTTCCAAATTACAATAAAAGATCCTGTAATATGAACCATCAATACAACAACCAAACGACAATAATATAAACCAATCTCGAAGTTAGGCATGCTACATAAAACGTGATTTTTCATTTTTCTAATTTTTGTGAGCCCTTTAAACCATCCTACGTTCCAAAGAGCCGGGATATCGATCGGGAGTTCGATCTCCGTTCTCGATGAAATTGGTAATTTTAAGTGCTGATTTATCAAGTGCTCAGCAGTAAAGGGATGCTTTCCTGAGAAAGCCTGGAGATTTTCGAAATATTTAATTACAAAAAAACTTTTCCGAACATAGTTACGGGAAGCCCACTTATCCGCAGTGGGACCGTGTGGTGGTGGACGCCGACCGACGGTGTGGTTTCGACGTAGACGAAAGAGATTATTTTATGTTGTATTTTTTTAGTTAAATATTAATATTATAACAAAAATCTAAAGTCACTCCTGACATTAATACATTTTAGCTTACATGGATATGACGCTTTTTACATGGATATGAAAAAATTAAAATTAGATGCATGTACGTTTTATACCATTATGTTTATAAGCCAAAAAAGTCGTGATGGGCAAACATATTATATTCTTTTTTTCTAATCATATCATTCATGCTTTTATTCCCACGCGAGTCCTTTACCTTTAACCCAAAGGTTAAAAACACTTTTCGTAATTAAATCGAATTTAATCTTTAAACACATTACTGTATTGGCGACCGAGAATCAAACCTCATACTAGGGGAATGTCTAAGCAATAGCCTAACACCTTCCATCTTGTTAAATTGTAATAAAAAATAATCATATGATATCACTACACGAAGTTCAAAGGTACATATTTAAAAACAGTCTGGATTGAAATTTCATGTTTGTCATGATTTCAGAATGGAACAAGATTATGCGTTTTAAGCGATTCTTCATATCGTTTTTTTCATGTTATGCTTGATAGCAATACTCAATTTCGGATTTCTGTGACGGAAAAAAGGCAAATAATATTATATTACATTTACTGGAATTTCTCCTCATACCCAATCGGTCTTTTTTCTAGTTATAATATAATTTCTTGAGAGCACTGTTTTTACTCGTAAATATCTTTGAAATACATCACGAAAGTGCAATAACAATCAAAAGCGAACTTCCTGTTTCCTATTTCACTACATTCTATTTTATTAAGAAATGTGTCGAAATGTGTGGTAGGACTTCTGCGTCAATGGAGTTTCGCGATTGCGTCAGGTTACTGAAATTAAGTTTAATCGCTGTAAGTTAGGGGGTCAGTTAAAAAAGAGGCCCCCTTATCAGGTCCGCGCGAGCACGCATTACGCACTTACATAATGAAAGGGGGAAGGCCAGGGCGTTAGAGGGGGCCATGGAGGGGGGGCGCGCGGGGTCGTCATCTGCGTACACCCTGTCCGGCCGCCCTCGATCGATACCTATACGTGTGGACTTTATGTAAAAAGCCTCCTGCTCGCCCGGAGGACGCCGACCATAAGTGTCGAGAAACGAGTCGCCCCCAGGGAGGAAGGCACGAAATATCTTCAATTTTCGAGAGAAAATTTACCAATGCGGGGGCGAGAGCCCGCGGCGGAAGGGCTGCCTCGCTCGGCCCGCGCGCCTGTGTCCGAAAAATTCCGCCTCTAATTGAATTTACAGATTTGCCTTTGGAACACACACGGCCCCGCAATATTCAATGCGGCCTATCGCTATTCCTCCTGGAGCCGCGTCGTTATTATACAAACACTCGTTCAAATTTCCATCACTCCGAGCTCCCGGCTAACACCACTACCTTCTCCGAAAAGGAGACCATTGAAATGAGATTTCAAAAAAGTTACCCGATCCTCTTTAAACTTTTAAGGGTACATCATTGCGAAACAGCTTTCTTCGTTTCGGTAATTATAGCAAAACAACGGATTTCTTGTACCGAATCGTAATAATCCACTTTTCAAAAATGTCTCAATGAACATTTCTTCTTCTTCTTCTTTTCTTTTTTGGCGGTTTTCAACGAATACGCCAATGAACCCTTCTGGTTGTTTATTTTTGTCTAACTTTTATAGTGAAATGATGAAGAGAATGATTTTATGAATGTTAAATATGTATATTTTTATATATAGAATATCTAAACAAATTTACATAATTATAGCAATTACCTAGACAAAGAAAATAAGATTGTAATTATTATGCTAAGTTCACAACTTAATATTACAACTATTAATAAAATTACACAAGATATAAACAAATGAAGAATTAACATATGTTAAAAGGTTATTGATATTAGATGGACGAGGGATGCTAGAAGGAAGATAATCATGGAAGAAACCTGGAATTCTGGGACACTTGAAAAATCAATGAACATTTAAAAGCGATGATAAAGAAAAGGAGACAATTGTGACATTCCGTCACCCTTCTGTTTAGGGCTGTCCTTTCGAGCGATGCTAATTTTGGTAACTATGTCATTTGTCATCATATGCTTCAACAAGCATATATATCAGCTTGACGATTTTAGTTCTCAAATTTGCTCACGCGTGTTTAGTTTTTATAAAATGATATCTCATCAATTACAAAACTTGTCTCAAAAAACCCAAACTTTTTATGCAGGTTTTATTCAAAAAACATAAAATAATAATTCAATTTAAAACATTTAATGTTTGCCAGACACCTTTGGATAGTTTTGATGAGGTCCCAACGGAAACATCCGTCTAAATTATATAATATAAATTACATGCAGAAAAATGATTTACACGTACATATTTCGTGAAACTGTGATTTTTAGCATAGATAAAGTTTATATGGAGAAGCGAAAAGAACTTTTCTTGTTACGTACATACGGTCATTGTGTTATATGAAACACTATGATGCCAAACAGTATAGATTTCGTCAGATAATTATAACTAGACATTTTCTTTATGGGTTTCTGCAGGAAAATTAAAGGTAAATTAATTTTCACTCTTTGTATTAAAAGCCTGTCATGCTCCTTAAATTCCGGTAATTGGTGATAGACACGGTTACAACAAAGCGAATAACACCTACTTTCAATTTTGTATACCAACGTGGTTCGAAGTGTTTTCAGCATATAAGAAACTTATTATTATTAAGACTATCATTACTTCAAAGAAGACTATCAACAGAAAAGTTTCCGTTAAGTTTCGCCGCCCATGGATACAAGTATCTGCTACACCCGAGGGTGTGCAGATGTGTTGACCACCAGACTCACTCACCAGACGAAACGCGACAGTATTATACTTCCTCTTCACGCCGGTCTTCTGTGAGGTCGTGGTACTTACCCGGACCCTGCCCATTCGTGCAATAGCCGAGACTGCTGCGTGGCCCTACCACAGTAAAAGTTAGGGTTACATTTTTAAATGATGATAGAAGGTGCATATGACCATTCATTAATGGGGGGAGCGATCCATGTATGGTTACTGCAAGTTTAATAAATCTGCACAGATGTAATGTTTTTATACCTGATGTGAATACAAACAAATGAGTTCTTAATAGGTGTGCAGCAAGTCTGAGATATGATCAGTAATTCAAATATTGTCCAGTATGGAAGCAAAATTTTCTTCTCATCTTCATTAGTCCGAAAAGATAAAAATTTCCGTTTACTTCATATTTTTACAGTTGTCTATATAGATACAGTTACTTTACTACAACAATATGAAGGGATGACATGCATTAATGCTGTATAAGAAAGTGAGTTAATATCAAGCTAAATAAGTTTCTAGTCTCCGCTTTTCATTCACGTGTATTAGCAGAAAATAAATTATAATTATAATAAATTTATCTGTTGGCTATATCACGCCGAGTGTCTCATACCTACGAATATTGTTATGCCCGTACCAAGCGTCGTGGTAAAGTAAATTTTTCACACCAATGCGTGTTCCCGAAATCTTTACATTTTATATTAATTTTCATTAATCTATAACAGATAAATAAAATTGGAGTCTCTGTTTGTAATATTAAAATAACCGCTTTTTACTAAATGCATATAGTATACACGGTAATTATACCAAAATAACTTTTTATAATTTTTGTCTATCTGTTTTGTTCCGGCTAATCTCTGAAACGGCTGGACCGATTTGGATGGGACTTTCACTGGCAGATAGTTGATGTGATAGGGAGTAACTTAGGCTACTTAGGCACAGCTAGTTTAAAATATAAACTTTCAGACATTCATTCTATATTAGTTTTCGGTATTATATAATATTAATTTTATAATAATATTTAAAAACAGCTGAATTATTCATTTCAACTTCTTGACTGGAGCTAAAATAATTTAGTATAATAAGCAGATCATTATTAACTGATCATTATTTGTACTGTATGATTATTACATTGCGACTAAATCAAAGGAAAATCTAAAATATTTCAAGTTTAGCTGTCACTAAAACCTTATATAAAATCGACATAGTTTGCACAGACGTCGTGGACCATGACTAATTCAATTTCAAGTATAAAATAACATGTAAGGGGACGGAAACATCATATGGATTTCTGGAACTTCGAAGTACACAAAATGGAAGCCGGAAATAAAATTCAAAGTCTAGTATTCAATTATACATATATATATATATATACGCAGAACAATGTGTGTTCAATGGGATCTTTGTGGATGGTTACAGATATAAAAACCAATTTAGGTACTGTTAATTCCCGTAGGCAACAAATACCACGGTAGAACGAACACGAAATAATATAAGTAGAATTTAAAGGTAAATCACATTTGAGATAATTTGGCACTTCTCAATATTTTATTTTGACACTTTGTAAGCGATACAAAGAAATTGTGAATTTTAAGAAATAAATCAAAAAGAATCAAAAGAAATTTATGAATACGGATGCTGAGATAAACTCATTCGTCGAACGTAATGTGATATTGGGTCAAAATTATCGCTGCGTGCTTTGGTAATTCAAAGGTCTAGTGGAGCAAAATTCATTTGGGAACATTTGTTTGATCTTATATTTCATGTTTGAAGGATATGTTCGTGAATAATTTTATGTTAGAAGTGTAATACGTATATTTTTAGTCTTATAAATTAATATTAAAATATTACCAAAATTAATCAACATAATAATCATCTTATGAATGTTCTTATATTTATTATTACTACATTGATAGCCATTCATGTTACAAACTGTAAAAACCGAAAATAAAGTAATTTTGTTTTACGACAACAAAAACAATACTTGTTCTCTATTCCCACTCGGACGAAGTAGCCCAGCGTATTACAATAGATCGTAAAAGGAGTCAGTATCGAAGATGAATAACCATCAGCGAAGGTTAACATTAATAAATTTATCTTGTATTGAAAACTTAAAATATTTGTTGTGGCCTTCCTACTAAAATGGTTGTATTCGTACATTTTCACTACTGATCACAGACTCACTGAGTATTAATCTACATTTACATATACTTTTCTTTGTATTTCGACATAATTAAAATAAAACGAAAGAGCCAAAATATCAAGTTCACTAGGAAAGTGACTGTATTAATTCTGTAAAACATTTCATATGAAAAAAAAGACACGGGAAGTCCAATTTTCTGAGGAACATACAATTTTGAATTCTATCGACTTTAAATTTACATATCAAATCGGAACATCAATAACTTGGGGAGGAAATATCGAAACTGATTTAAGCCGACCTCGTCGAAGAAATTGAGAGTGTTCCTATTTCGAGGCGAACACACGAGCCTTACAAAATGTATTCAGCGTCGCCGTTGGAAACCTATTTCGACTGCCCTACCTACCAATACGTAGGGCGGGCAGCTATAGTCCGTGCACATGTAAAATAGCTTCGCTCAGCTCTGCAGTATGCTCTACTTGACTTAACATATTTAATTCTAATATTTTATACAGTTTTTTTTAGTTTTTTTTAGTTTAACATGTAGTGGGTAGTGAACCTGCCTCTCGCGCCAAAGGTTGTGGGTTCGATCCCCATTACTAGAACAAGATTGTGTGATGAACATCGTATGTTTCCAGTGTCTGGGTGTTTATACAGCGTGTCGTTACAACCGTCACAATAAATGAACACACATATAGAGAATAACTTTTTAAAATTATATAATGCCTTGACATTCTTTAAACATCAATATTTGCCGAGTTATAAAATTTTTCAAAACAAACATTTTTAGAACTTAACGTTACAGTTTTATACGTAAGGGTATAAAGCTGTAACGTAAAGTTCATTTGTAAAGGTTACAAAGCATATGAATGGGTTGAATGAATTTAAAAGAGATAAAGCATACTGTTAAAAGGAGAGACTTGTAATGCGACATTGTGGTAACGAATGAAAAAGTCTCAGAATGTATGTATCAGTAAGTTGTAGTTGTATAGGATGTTACGAATTTTGTTTCTTTTTTATTTAATTAGTTTGTTTGAAAAATATATTTTTTTAATTATGGATTTTTTATCGTTTTATATTTTTTTATGATTATTGGCAAGTAGCGTTAGACGTGTGTTCATTTATTGTTGCAGTTGTAACTATAAATGAATATTTATAATATATATTTATTTACTAAAGAAAACTAAGTTTAAGTATGTTTATCAGTTATCTAGTACCCATAGTATGTACAAGTGTTGCTTAGTATGGGTTTAGAGAACGTTGTGTAAAAATGTGTCCTAAATATTTTTTATTTACTTTATTTATTTGTACATCTAAGAATATCACTAAAACATAAAATACTGTAAAATGTTTGTAATTAAAGTAAGCTGTAATAGCAGACTACTGATTTACTTCAATAAGAGTAAACGTAAAAGTTTAATAAAAGTAACCAAGTTAAACAAATAACAATCATTACGTTCAACTCTAAAACACCAAAACTAAAGAACAATAAATAAATACAGCGTTGTTAATTGTTCAATACAGCACAACTATGAAAATTAAATTTCGTTTTTATAAGGAAGGTGAAATTTAAGTAATGCCATTAAAACTATCAACAAAACCGTTATTTGTTCTTACAACTGTTCAGTCTTTATCAACAGAATGCTGAGGTTGAGAATCAAAAACTGTAATGGTCAGGTTGCTGGCACGATGCATAACGCTTTTACAATAAAATAATGAAATGAACATAACACTTCATCGTCGTTTGAGACACTATAGTAAAATAACTTAAAATAACCCAAGTCTAAATTTCACATTGTAAATCATTATAAAATCGCATTGCACCGATAACAATGTTTTGACGGCAACAAAATTGGTGCGCAGTAGAGCAACCCGCCAAGCGTGGCGGTTACAAGCGGGTACCGGGGGCTACTTCTCCGTTATATCTGCCCGTCCAAGATACATGCCTCGCATAGGCGCACTCGTGTTACCGGCAGCGTCCTGGCCAGCGAGGGCCGCGGGTGGAGGGCGGGGGCCGAGGGGGCAAGGGACGCTCCGCTGCCCCGCACCACCCTCCACGAGATGGCCACCCTCCCGCCACCCTGCGTCATCTAGTGCGGCGACTACTCCGCTAGGGTTAATTCGAACTACTTCGCCCTTTTTAAATATTTTAAAATATACGCGTTTTAAACTAATCGTACATATTGAATGTATCGGTCACTTTACAATCAGGAAACGATGTTTCTCATGTGCAATAGTTGAGGACGAATAATATATTTATTAGGGACACATTATTTTATTTGACTTGAGAAACTGTAATATCGCGCTTATGCTATTTAGTCTTTAAGAGTGTAGTATTTTTGTTTAAGCTTTTGAAAATAGTAAAAGTTTCACACTCTTTACATGAGATGAGATGCTTGTTAATTTTTTTTTCGCATATTCAGTTTTTAATCAAAGTATGATAATAAGGCAAACGTTATTTAATTTTGGGGGCATTCTGTTTATACTATCATCACAAATTGTTTTGAAAAAATCATTTAATATTCTACCATGCAATAATTTCACTAGATGTGCATACTTTGGAACTCATATCTTGCAGTCGACAGGTTATAATATTAAATTTAAAGAAATTTAAAAACTCCTTCAAGAAAATGTGACAGCCCTTCGTGTCCAGCCCGCAGCCCTGATTCTGTAGAACAGAGAACGCCGGCGTGCGTGCCTGGCTCGCTGTAAACAGCCTACCCGCGTACGTATGTAGGGCGGATGGACGTCCCTACGCCCCCCCAGATAAAGGGGTGCCCCCGCTTCTTCCTTGTTCCTCCTTGTGCAAATTCCCCTGGCGATGGAAATGTGCTCCGCCACATTTTATACAATTTCTAGTCCGTGCGTTCCAAACTTTACCCGTGTCCACATTCAGCCTTATTAAATTGCTTAATTCCCACGTAGCCGTGTCGGCCTCGGCAGGCCTGAAGATTAAGGCGCCCTATGAATGGTTTGCTCAACTTCTCAAGTTATCGGGGTTGTTTGTTGTGCACGATTTTCTCGGCCGTTGACTTCTCGTTTCATTCATTTCTCGACAGCTCGCCCGTCTTATGGCTCCCAAGATATCATTAGTATGTCACAACATTGTGGATCGTCATAGGGATTTTTGCAACAAGTCTCCTCGAATTTTAATACTTACATAATTAATTCATTGTCATCAATGTAATTCGACGGTGGTATTGATTCTCATTGATATTTTAATCTCCATAAAGTAAATGAAAGTAATATTTAACTAAAAAAGACACTTAGTAACATTTAGCAGACACTTCAGTACTGAAATATTTTATTTAAAAGTAACAAAATAACATTGGATGTTTCTTTTGGTTGTATTTAAAGGACTAAATTGTTAAAAATAAAGGAAATAAAAAATAAATTGTCTTGAATTTACTATTTTAAGCTTGCGTAATCAATTTAAGTACGTATACTAACATTAAGAAAAACAGTGAAAACGTACAGCAAGTAATGCCCCGTATAGAGGAGACAAGGTAAGAAATCAATTACATTGTTGTTCTTCAGACTTAATTTTCCTTTCATAATTACTTACAAAATAAAATCGATAATCATGTTAATCGATTTGTAATACAGAAATAACATACACATCGTGCTGAAGAAGCAAAAAATATTTCATTTCAGAAATGTGTTATTCTATAAAATTCAACTGCGTAAAGTCCACGTGAAATAAATTAATGGGCATTTTGTCCAATAGTCATCTATCATCTAAAACATAAGCCAAATTTCACTAAAGTTAAACAAGTTTAAATATATTTCGAAAGAGGTAATGAAGAAGAAATGAAGTCTAATAAGAGAAGAGTTTCTTTCCAATGCTTTTGGTCTGTTTTAGATAAGTTAACTAGCATAGAAGATTAAAAAACCGTAAAAAGAATGATTGAATTTTGACTTGTACTAAATAAATTAACGTACATATTTTGTACATATACATCGTTTTGATAACAATGCATCTACTTTTCTGTATATTACCCACATACCAATCATACTCAATTTTCAGTTTCTTTGTATTTGTTTAACAAGTGTTTCACTTTTCTTTGAAACTTTTCACATAAAATGGAAAGGTGTACCATGAATGTATTATACATTAACTTTTCAGGGAATTATAGGACGGGACGCCTAATAGCGATCTCAAGAGGACTCGTCGAATGCATAACATAGATTGTGAAAAAGTTTCAGACAAGACGTTTCCGTGAAAATATGTCGTAAACAAATCGTTCTTAGAATTATCAAAGAAACGACATACATGCGATTCGGCTCGTAACAATAGCGAGTTTCAGAGTCAGTCAGCACTATCAGGGGTCATAGCGGTCGTTGTTGGAATACTTGTCATGTACAGAATTGCTGGGCTTTTAATTAAAGCTCAAGTAATTTAGAGGGCCAGGGGGTATCCGATGACTCCACCGCGCGTGGCCATGTATTAGGCACAGTCTTCTGCATACTCATTTGGAAATGGTTAAACAGAGGTAGCTCGGGGGTGGCGGATGGGGGAGCTGGGCGATGGTTAGTTCACTGCTACGTATAAATTAATAACGTACCTACGCGGCGGCTACAAGTAGATATAGGACACATGTCTAAAGTGCGTACGGGACATACAGGCTGTTCTTAATTTAATATTTGTTTTCTCCGATCAGAAATTTATGTAATGCATTTTAATACAACAGAGAGGTTCGCGGAAGCGCTAGTAACACTTATTACAGAATAAAATGATTAAAGTTATAAAAATAATGCAGTAATATAAACAAAAAAAATATTAATAAACAAAAATCTTACAGTGAAAAATTGTCTCTGTATAAAAATGTTCATTGGAAGTACATAAATTTTACCATTATAACTATTAACGGAAGAAGTGACAGTAAGTATTGCATTTATTTTAGCTTACTAAGATTAATTATTTGAGTAAAATAAATGTTATGACATGTAAAGGTATAATTTTACAGACCAATGATTTTGTATAAATTAATTGCGATTGCTATCCACTTATGAGTTACAATCATTCATTCATAAATTTAAGTGCCACAATTAATCGTTTAACTTTTGATCTTAATCCCCGATACATTAGGAGCTTTCATAGTCACGGGACTGACAAAAATAGTTTTCGTTAATCTAAAAATTGCCTCTGGTCAATTACTCATTCAACTATAACTCATCAATCAACTACTGTACACATCATGCATCGCTTTATGCGCCTCGAAATTTAAAATCGGCGTACTAATAAACCACTTGGTCAATATACAAGTGTTTGATAAAAATAAATGTGATGGAATCGCCAAAGTTATAGTTGCGTTAAACGCATTCGTAAAAAAAATGTATTTCTTAATGATAACAAATATGTACATATTATAATAAAATTATGAAAATTTAAGCGCAATCTAAGAAAAGAAGAGCAGTGGAAACCGTTCTCCTTCTGTTCCACCTCTGGCGCGAAACGTTACGCAACGGAGTTTCGAGCATCACTCTGTATAACTAAGATGCGAGATGTAAAATTTGAGCGGAACACAACGCACACCTATTATGAAATTTGTGCACACACCGAGGCCGGCTACGCACACACGCACACAGACGCCGGTACTCGGACTTAGGCGGCTATTGGGGTGAGTGCGTTCGGAATACTTGCGACGCCCGCCCGGCTTAAATTCCCGTATTAATATGTATCCTCTACGCGTTCCGAACTGAAGCTCTACGCAATTCTGTAGCCGCCGCCGAGCGTTTGTGATCGCCTAACTCTTGCATGTAACACGTAATATCGCTATAGCAATATATAGATAAGTAAGAAGACGATAGGTGCAGTCAAATATCGTGGTTTAACGACATCAATCTAATATTTCAACTCGAAATGTTGCCGAAAATTATTTCCAAATCTGAAACGAGAGTTTCAGTTATTTTTATTTTTACCTTATGTTATTTTCTTTATAAATCACGAGGTAATATACTTCGACAAAATTTGTCGTAGTATTTTGTAAAATTGTAGTAATTTTTTAAAATTGTAATTGTAAGTACAAACGAATAATAAATTAGAAAAATTGTAGTTATTGGTGGTAGTGTTTTGACTATCAATAAGCGAGTGTAATGCTCCTATGTTGAATAAAGACATTTGATTTTGATTTTGACCAGAAGGCATTTGAATGTTAGAAGAGAGAAATGTTAGAAAGCTGTGATGAGCTTCTTATCCTATCATTATCAAATACAACGTAAATTCAAATCGATATTTTTAGTGACCTGGTGCCTTAGTATTTGTATACCCCATAACAATCAAATTAGAAAGCTCTAACCGAGAGCCAACTAACAAAAATAAACCTTAACTTACAAAAATCTCGTAAAGTAAACATTATAATAATTGTTTAATAACTATAATTATATACTGATGCTATAATCTTTGTGGCCTTCAATTAATTCGGAAATGGTCAGCGATATAACAAATAAAAACTTTTCAATAAAACCTTTTCGTGGCTCAGTCATCTATATAAGATAGTAGGCTAGGTACCCTTTAATGAAACGTTAAGAAAAACATAGGATCTAAATATGCAACATCCGAATGAAACATTGTAGTTAAATATATCAAATGACACCGAGAGAACGAATACAACAACCTTGACAACACTTCTAGAGGGTAAGTAAGTTTATTTACTCATCCCGTCACCAAGTTTACCGATGTTAATAAGTGAGGATTTTACCTTATTTCAAAAACGGTATCCTTCCGAATGCTGTTTGCATAATGGGAATCATATTAAAAATGATATCCGATAATTATAAATTTAGAACCAAAGGAAGTACAACCATTTATATTGGAAGATCGAAATAAAGTTTCGAGTTCATGCAATAGATTGCATTTTCGATTACTTGATTTGTGGGGCTGCTGAGAAAAGATTTATTATTAAAATTGGACACGGTGTCACTACAGCGATTTTTGCACTCGCGTCTAAATTAAGAAATTTACGTAAATAATTAATCAACGCAAAAAGGATTGTCAGCCGCGCTTGGACAGCGAAGCAACCCTTATTCCAATGGCTAAATTGAAAAGGGTAGATCACTGTTTAAAAATTCAACGAATAACTAAGCTCTTGCTATAATGCGTCACCGCTTGTGGTTTGCAGCTTCGTCTACAACCATAATATATTATATCTAGTTAGTCTATCCTTAAAATGCCCGTTTTTTAATTCCGAAAACCACCTTATTGTTTTCACCTAAATTTCTATCTAATTTACAACCGACTCCAAAAAGAAGGAGGTTCTCAATTCGACTGTATTTTTTTATGTTTCTTTTTTTTATTTGAAAGCTGGTGCTTCCCATGTGCTCCCATATTAATTTCATTGGTATTGGATCTTGGGCTCCAGAGATACTTAGGGAACTCCTGAAAATCAATTATAAAATGAATACAGAGCGAGATATTTGTAGTCGGTTTTTATTTTTTGTTGATAAAAAATAGACTTGTTACTCGTATTAATTTACCCGATCTTAAATTTACATCTCACTAAGAGATCCTACTACTTTTAAGAATACTACGTTGCTTTTAATCGGAATATACTAACTTCGATGTCGTACAATAACCATACTCTTGAAATTTATATCAAAATTTATATAAAAAAATTAAGTGCTCCTTAACTATCTAACTATATAAGTGCCGAATTATCACGTGCTCAGCAGTGAAGGAAAACATCGTGAGGAAACCTGCATATTTTCGAAATAATAACAAAAAATATTTCGAAGATATGTGAAGACCGCCAATCCGCAGTGGGGCCGCGTGGTGGACTGTGTCCATTAGGACATAGTCCACCCTCTGTACAGAGGAGGCCTTTGCCCAGCAGTGGGACATGTATAGGCTGATACTTTACTTTTTTTTATTATTTATGTTCATTTTTTATTTATTATATATTCATTTATATTGTTTCATATATTTTTCTTAAAAAAAATTGAACTAAAATGTTCATTTTTAAACAAAATTTTAATTTTAACAATTGTATAGAAATAAATAAAGGATGTTCATTATAAAAAGTAAGGTAAATAATTCCAATCGATCCGCCATAAACATGTGGAGACAACCTGTTATGATATCACGACTCGCTTTCGCACGTGAGACTAAAACAGAAATAACTTATAAAAAGACAAACATCAAAGTGACTAACAAATGTATAAACAATTGATGTTATCGTTTGTGTGAGAATAAAAAAGAAGCGGTGAAAAGTTGATTTTATGAAAATTAAAATACTCGCGTGGAATAATTTTTGGCAGACTATTTGTCCGTCTAAAACTGTTCACAATAGTAATAAATACGTATAAATAAGAACTAAGAATCAGTTTTATTGATTTCCTGCATGCGCCGAACATATTTTATCTGGGAACAAATATACCGGGAAACAAATCCAAATAATTTAACTAAGAGACGGATTTATTTTAAGCATTTACTTCTCGAGTAAGGTGTTTATTTTCACCTTAATAATAAGGAAGGATGTTTTGGATGAAAGATATTTGTCATTTCTATTTTACTAACCTATAATTTTTGCCTTGATGAACGCCATTCGACTTATAAATAAAGACTTTGTTATAAAAGGAAGATATTATAAATTAATAAAATTTGAATGAATTACGTATAAGTAATCGTGATTCGATCACTAAATTTGTTGGTCTCTCAGAATCACAGTGTTGAAGATTTGTGACTGTCCTTGGGTCACTTGGCCACTTAATGGTATTATAACACCTGCAGCATAAATCTTTTAAAATACGCGCAGCTAAAGCTCGAAAATCTTTTAATTTTTTTACCACTTTAAAATTAAGCGAAGAGCTTCGACGTGAGGCTAATGACCTTACATTTTACATTGAATTCGGCCAAAACAACATATGAATTTCTTAACATGTTGCAAGTAAAATATGAATACGACATTGCATTATAAAAATAATGTCCGCAATTAAATTGATATTAATGGAAATTAAATAACTAGTCTTATCATCTTGATTACACTGTATCATTGACAAGATAATTATGTCGAGTTGAATTTTAACGATATATTTATTTATTAATGATTTTTGGGAAATCAGTATATAAATGCTACCATGGTAGGTCTGCTTTGCGGAGCCTGTTCGAATCCATTTACTGCCCTAAATTATGCGTAAAACGTCCATTTGACGCTCACCCCTCTTCCCTCTTATCGCTTGGACAGAAACGGACGGGGAGCCTCGGGCGGGGGTGCCGGACTAGGGCAAATTGGGGGGTTTACAACCCCCCAAGTGAGGGTGGTCCAAAGTCCACCTCACCCTTTAGCTACCCTGAAGTTCCATCTCTCACACCTATAAATTTGGCACACACATTTCACCCTATCGGGCGGGGTGGCCTATGGCGTACCAATCCTTTCGCAGCGGCTCTGTCACACTCGCTATGCCGCCAGTGACCTCCACTACAAATTAATATTCAGAAATGTTTCCATTCCGATCGTTAATCATTGCCATCTCTGCTCCTGATCTTCACTCAGCTCTCGCACAAACTTTTGCAGCACAATTCCAACTCCAGGTTCATTTCAAGACGATCATTGCATGTAGTGTTACGTTAGCAACTAAATCTTCAAGTTATTAAATTTTTGGTAACAATAAAATATTGAAACTTAAATTTTCTAACAAATCAATGTTAGCAAAACTGCCAACTTTGAAACATATACCGTGATATCATTTCATTATTTGCTTGTAATTGACTCTATAAAATTTAGACTCGGCTGTAAATCACATAAGCAATATAAAATATGCTCCAAGACAATTTAACGTTCGTAGTTAGGATTCAATGAACGCAGCACGCTAACTCTATGGTGGCACGTAATTAAGTTATAATTTTTGTACCAAGTTAGTCCTTCTACCCTAAAGGTATGTAAATATTATTATTTTCCGCCACTATATTCTACTAAATAATGAAATAATTTAATAAAATTAAAAAGCTTTCAAAGTAGGAGCCAACACACAGCGTTATCTTTAAACAACGCAAGATGGCGTTATTCGTATCTGCCAGTCGGTCAATATCTGCAATTTTTGAACTAGTAAACAGTATGCCTTTAACTTTGATAATTAAAAGTAATATTTAATTATCCTTTTTACCTATATATTTCAGTTTTTCCGTCTTTAATAATTTATTCAAAGATTAATTTGCTAATAATATTGTTTTTCAACCTACTTTATGTATCAAATAAACTTTAAATAAACTATCAATCAAAATCATAATCATATCATTTAATAACTATGCTTTTAATAATATATTAATATACATTTAAGTGCCTTATTACCAAAATGTATTGACTGATTTTAAATTAAAACATGAGTATGTTAAAGGAAATATAATACATGCCTAATTAAATTTAAGATTACAAAGTCGTATCTATAGACCTATGTGATTGATTACATTTTTTATGATCGAGATTTTGAGATTAAATGTTTTACAAAATAGATTGTGCGGACGATCGCTCTAAATCACAGGGTATGTGAAAAGTTTACATTTAATTTTTTTCCACTTTGAAGCTAAGATTCTCAAATTTTTTTTTATTTCATCTAAGTTAAAATTAGTTATATGGCTTTAAATTTGTGACTTAAGTAGTGACATTTTCAACGACATTAATCTATAAAGGTGTATCCAATAAAGTAAATTCTCAAAAAAATTAAAATAAAGACTTTTAGAACTTCACAATATGCATTCAATTGGATCGTTTAAGAATTATTCACAAGTTAATTTCATACTTTCCACAGGTGAACATACTATTTTGTTAAGCATATTTTTTAAATATTTGACTAGTACAGTAGTTTATGTTAGATGTATATAAAATATTTATTGAAAATTTCAATGATTCCTTTTTTATATTATAATTACTGCACCTACCTAAACTTCTCTGGATCACCTCAAGGGTAGATAACGTTGATGGCATTGAGTCCATTTTATACATATTTTTGCATAATGGAAAATTAAATAAATTCCATAAAACGAATGTTTGTTTTAAAAGTTTGGGAAACATATGTTAAAAATAAGGGTGGCGCCACCGCGACGCCATATTCGTTTGCAGGTACGTAATTGCCTTTCTGCAAAAGGTAACAATGTCATTTAAATCCTAAACTGTATAAAACTATTTGCTTTTACATATTTGTAAGATAATAATGGCTAACAAGTGACTTACGTGTAAATTGAACAATGGAAAAATTGTTTTTTTTTTCGAACGCAACTATCGGTTTGTCTTTGTCGATCTTTTGTCTGCTGATGTTCTAGATCGGTCAGCTAATCTAAACGTCTTACATAGCAATGTAACGTTGGCACCCGCTGAGACGTTCTCGTCGAGAGCTTTAACTGATTTTGTTAAAAGATATTTATTTCCATAGTGAGCCTTTGGCAAATAGTTATCCTTACATTTCCTTTCAACGGGCGACATTTGATTATCACTCTGACTTTTATTATCTTCGTAATCAGACGTAGTAGAACTGCAGCTATAATTACATACGACGTCTACTCTTATAACTTGAACCGTGGCAGGACTTTCTACTTTGGATATCGTGATGCTTTTTCTTTTACCACGTCTATGAAACGCAATTTTTGTAACATCCGAATTTGTAATTGTTTCATCCAGCACTTTGACATCACCGGTTGGAATATTTGTATTCATTAGGTCTTTAGATTTTCTTTGCATTTCAGACGTTGTCTTCAAATCCACTTGCACTGATTTATTTTGCCTTTGCTTGGTGTCTGAGTTGGAAAGGAATATGCTTGATTTGGCTGACGGAGGTCGAGATTGATCATTGCTAACAAAGTACTTGGCGTAATCATCGAAATAATAGCAAGTGAGTTCAGACGCACAATCTGCGTCACTCTGTATAGCGGATTCGTCGATAACCTGCTTCACAAACATCCTATGTTTTTGGCCAGCAGCCATGCTTTTATATTTGAAACTTGTTCGTGGTCTCTTATTCTGTTGGGTTAATTCACCTTTAAACTGCAATGTTTGCACTGAAAGAAACATATCGCTGGGGTCGTGATGGTTTTGGGCCTTTGAGGTTCCATTAAAATCGTAATTCTCCTGATCGACTGCGCAACGGTACCTGATAATCAAAGGAAATCCAAATAAAGTTTGACAAATATTCAAATCATTTGCCTGATCTGAAAAAGAAATCCCTATCGATATCAGGAAATGGTGTCATTCTTTTTTAATTTTATCATATGTTTTTAAGTGATTTTTTTTAAATATGGAATTTGACATTGCAAAATTGGGGTTATATTAAAAATGCACGTATGAAGTTATACTTCCCTAACATCATAAAAGAAAAATAAGTAAAAATTTTATCCCCTGTGCTCCGCGGTACTCTTCGTTTGTGAAAAAGACTTTAAATGCAATTAATAACGGTTTAATAAAATAGTTTGAAATTATAAGTGAATGTAAAATGTTGTTATAGGTTGCTATGACAATACCGTGAGCTTTGCAACCAACTGCATCATATTGCTGTTGGTGGCGCTAAATTTGTATATCATGAGAGTATAATTTGTTCCAAACGCGCCAAATGAAGTATAGCTTCAAAAACAATTATTTACAACAACGGTTCAACGGTGCCCTGGTATCGTTAAGAAACATGCTTAAACGTGCGATTCAGTATATACAAATTAAGATATAGACATATACCTTTGTATCGTATTTGGCCATTTTGCATCATCTTCAAATTGTGGATCCACTAAAAGTTTTTGGCAATATCTTCTGGGCTTCCCATGACGTGGCTCGGATTTTGGTCTCGCCTTAGTCCTCTCTTGTAAATGCAGCTTAGCGCATTTCATGTTTCATAATATGTTTCTGAAAGTAGAATATTATTACATCTGTGGTAGGCCCACGTAATAGTTCGCTTTTGCATGAATGTGCAGGTCCAAGGAAGTGCCACAACCTCACAGTAGACCGACGTAAAATGGAATTCATACTCTTCTGCGTTTCCTTTGGTGTGGTGAGTGAGGTATCCAGGGCTCACTTTACTAAAAGGTGGCGTCGGTGTTGGAAATGTCTATGGGTGGCGGTTATCACTTACATCAGTTGAAGCGCTAGCTCGATTGCCACTTTATCGCATAATAAAAAGTATTTGTGTACTTATGTGTGTATACGCACGTAAAAAGATATACTTCTTTGGCATAAAACATTAAATGCAATCTAAAGGTCTATTTATGTACCTTGGAAATATTGGTAAAGTTAAAAAAGTTGGCTAATTGGTTGCCAAGATTAAATAGGTTATGTCGCTTTTTGTGGGTCGGTATGCGCGCGCATTTTACTCTCATAATTTTTCCAAACGCGCCGAAAGAAGTATAAATTCAAAAATATTTTGTGATATAATTATGTAGTATGCAGTTCGCAATATTGTTTCGTAAGTTTGTTTCGGACAAGTTGTCAAGCATTACTTGGCACTTCAAGTAATTGGTAAAATACTTTTCTAACTGTTCTGCGTTATTTTTACTTTCAGATTAATATTAATGTTTCGCGTGCAGGCAAAATAGACGTAATAAAATCTAGAGATGCTTCTGTTGGATATAAGGAATTTAAAGTGATAAGTTTGCTGATAAACATTTTTATCCGGCATGAGTATTCATTTTATTTCTTTCATTTGGCTTTTTAAAGGAATATCCGTGTTTACAATTGTTATTATCAAAAATATATTAAATATTCTAACGCTTTTGAAACACTTCCAACTAAATTAGTAATTACTCGATGCGATTTTGTTAACGCTCTGTTATTCCTGCCAATGCATCATTGTTTGAAATCTTTTCATCCTGGAAGCAATTAAGTCAAAAGAAGTTGCACTATACCTTGCCCTTTCATTCCGCAGTCCATTTTCACGGATTAGAGTGGGACGGATGCAAAGATTTTTTTGGAGCTATTGATAGAGGCACTACAATGCCGGCAGGATGGTGTATTTGATCTAACAACGTAGCGGTCCACATGTTCTTGGGAATCGCTTCACCAACGATGCAAAAAATGTTTCTCTATTCTTTTGCATACGGCACAAACAGTCTTGATATTTGAGTTTTATGATTAAGTTAACTAACTCGTTATAACAGTAAATAGAATGTCGTTGTTTTGTTTAATTGCAATAATTGATTCTGAAAATATTGGATAAAATAAGCATGAAGCGCGTTCCAACCTTTTATTACAAACTTTATACTGAATTATAAATTACCAATAGATGAACTTTTATAATGCATTTAGTTTTACATTTTATATTTTTGTTTACGGGCATGATGACATGCTATTTACGCATTATCAATTATTACTATTGCAAAGAAATTAATCTTTCACTAAATGTGGAAAAAGAGTAAAATTAAGGCATTTGCGAAATCACCATAAACGAAATAAATTATGTTAGGTAATTATTGAAATGGAATAACAATAGACAACTTTTTCTTGTCGCCCCCGATCAAACTTCTTGCCTGAAACGTCAAACTGTCACGCAACACGGTAGGTACATTTTCAATATTTAGCGGTGTCAATCTGTCAATTCGCCCACGTGTATAGTGATGGAGTAACTATAATTACCCAGGGAATACATAAATCAATTTTATTTTAGTTTTCGGTATATAAAGTAAATAGTTAAAACTGACTTATTTTCAATGTTATCGATTAATCTAAAACCAAATATATTCCCACAAATGAAAATTACTTTGTCGTTGTACATTCTCGCACACACCGTCAAAATAATAGGCACAGCTGGTACATATAGAAAAGAACGCACACTAAGATGTAGTCTTGGTGCATCCACTGCACACGAACATCTTTCGTCACAAAAAACGCATTATTATTATCCTGGATCGGGGACATCCATCCTGTTCACCGAATTTTCGACCTTATTTGGATGTCTGAAAAGATTATGCTGCTAAAAATGGGCTAGCTGTTGAACTTTAAATTCACCGACGCAACATTTTCAAGGGAAAAGGCATTTTGAAACTTAATGAGAACAGTCAAAGGTGGAAACTCGCTTGCAAGAAAGTGTAGAAGGAATTTAAGTTTCTAAAATTGAAAAAAAACGCCTATGTATCTTGCAAGGCGCCAAATGCATCTTGCACTGCGCCTACGAACACGGGAGATTTTTGTTGACTTCAATGGACGTGACTTCTAACATTCGTGAGCCATAAGATATAAAGCGCACGTGGTAATTAAAATTGTCCAATTTTTTTTCCTTATCGTTAATAATTCTTATATGTATGTACATAATCCAAATAACTAACGACAGTTTCCAAAGCTTACCAGGAATCATTTATAATCGCATTACGCAGCATAATGAATTTTTGTAATACCCGCATTGTAAAGAAGAGCTTAAAACAATTGTTCACGTAATTCTACAGATGGTTTTGTAAAGAATGTCCGTTTACAGCGAAAAATATGAAACAATAGAGACCTTTTATAACTTTCCTAACGATTATGTTATTAAAGGTTTTTACAATGTAACAAAATATTAACTGCTTCATATTGTAATTTTTAACATTATTTACCATACTTATAAAATTTAATAACTTTTGTGCGATTATAAAATCATTTGAAGTAAGTAACCCTTAACTGTATGAATATATCTTCAATACTAGAAGTAGTAGCCAGTCTCTCAACCTGCAATGTGGCGCAACAATATCCCATTTTACTATTAGTTTACAGCAACTCGCCGCACAAGTTGACCGTCACACTGCAACCTGACACTGGGTCAATTCTAACAAAAGAGGGTCACAATTTTATTCAGAATCGATTACACTACCGCGTTCATCAGTGGTACCATTGAAACGGTATTACCATTACAATAGAGTGACCTTGTGTGCCTCTGCACGAAATGAAACAATTTCCTTCCATGGTGAAGGACCCTCCACCTGTCAAGCCATTGAGAAAGAGCTTTACTCAATAACTGTTCCTGTCCAGTTTACTTATTTCCAGTAACCGGCAAACAGTCATATGGGGTATTGATTAAAAAATGGTAGTTAAAATTCACGTAACCGCCGCGTAATATTCAAAATAATCCGTAATTTATCAATAAACATCCAATATTCTTGTTTCGCATTAAATAAAAAAAAATTCTAGCTTTTAAACATTTTTTATTAATAAATTTATAATAAAAAAGGAATAAATTTAACGAAATACAAATTTCACGTCAGTAAAAAGCAGGAAGTGTTGCACGTTAAGCACGTTGCTACTCTTCTTAATATGGAATACGTTCCCATGCGGCGTATAACTTTGGAATAATTCTTCCTGACACTGCATGAAAGTCGGTTATCAATTTTTTTTCATTACACAACCCTTGTACACCGACTGCATTCAAGACCCTTTTGCCCTAAAATCTATCACAGATCAGACAAAGCCGGGTGCGCGAATATGTAGCAGTGAGTAAATAAAGGGATGATATATTATGAAGGCTGATGTGATTAAAAAAACCATTTCCCTTAGCGATGTCAAGGTGCGTCATACTGAGGGATGCTACGTATACTATTTATCGATAATATCGAAAACGTCACAATAGCATTATCTTCGATACTTTTATGTTAATTAATATATAATGTACTTCCGTTAAAACAAATATATTTATGGAAGACAAATTTAAAGTATGTACTTATTCCTCTTTAGCAATATAAAACAATTATTGCAACTGTTATTTATGCTGATTATTACGTTTAATTTACGGATATTTAAAAAGCAAAAAAAAAATATTAGAAGTTCGAACAATTTATCGATAACCAAGCCACGCACCTCACTTTAAACCTTGGGTTCCCAAAGTGCAACCCCGGGCCAAATGGGGACCGCAATTTCTGTGGATCGAGACATCGCTGCTGTTACACAATTGTTTACACAATTCGAATTAAATACAGTAATTTATTGTTCCAATCAAAAATTATTTCAGTGTACGCTGTACAGCAATATAGTTCATTTTTATCGTCTTATATTGAATGCCCTTTATATGAAATAATTGACTGGCGCTGTGAATTGAGCGTTATCGATACCTGGAATTGTTTCTTAATAACAAAGCATTCAGAACGGGGTATGTATTGGCCACGACAAATGTAATATAGTGCGCAGAATTGTACGGGTACATTCGGCAATTTGAGATCGTGTCACGTTAATAACACGTTAAAATAATTAAATCCAACGATCCATAAACCAAACTCAATTTTAAAACGTTTTACTTCAATATTTGGCTAAGTTGGCAAATAATGACAAATGTTTTCCAAGATAAAATTTTGTGAGTATGAATACACAACAATTAACAAAAAAAAAACAAATATAAAGTAGTTCAAAAAAACAAATATATACTGTCGTTTTTCTTGCAACAATTTTTGAATATTGAGTATATTTGGCTATTACAAGATAAACTTTGGGAGCCCCTGCTTTAAACTCTCAGGTGAACGTAATCATTGTGGGAACCATACCATAACGCCTGTCTCTTTCAAGTAATATGTCTGTCCTTATCGGAAATTGTTCGCTAGATCGTCTAATAGAGAATAGTTCCAAAGCAATAAATAATTCAAAAGGATCGTATCGGTAACTTGAAATAGTAAGAATAATTTTTTGAAAAGTAAAAATTGACTTTTATGACGTGTACTAAATTATACATTTCGCTATATATAAAATTTCGATTTATAAAAACAAAAATATTGTAGTTGTCTCCGAGTGGAGTCAACTATTTTATTAAAGTTATATTTTTTATTTCGCTAACCTCCCTTAAGTGAAAGCTCTTTAGTAATAAATTAATAATATATTCAGAGGTGCATCACTATACACTGAATGTATTTTAATTTACCCGTACAGTCGATTCCATGTACTAAAA